AACAGTATATAAGATTTCCTATTTTGCCACATCCTCTCCAACATTCATTACATGCTATCCTGTTAAAACTTTGCCACTGCTACTGAAGTGAAATGGTATCTAACTGGGGTTTTGTTTTGCATCTCTTACTGCCAGTGATTTTGAGCATTTCTTCGTGTGTCTGTTGGCCATCCAAATATCCTTCTCCATGAAAACTTTCTGTCTTTTGCCCATTCTGTAATTGTGTTATCAGTCTTTTTCTTGCGGAGACCCTGTAGGACTCTCTAAACTTTCTTTTATAACCCAATCCTGTAGAGTTATGAAGTTTCCAAATGAGTGCTTTTATAAGTTTTATCCTCCTGTGGTTATAGTTTTATGGCATTGTGGTCTGAAAAGATACTTTATATTATTTTAACATTCTTTAATTTGTTGAGGCTTGCTTTGTGTCCTAATAAAGTAATCAATTGCAGAGAATGCACCTTGTGCACGAGAAGAAAGTGAATTGAGTTGTAATTCGGTGAAGTACCCTGAATACATCCACAAGGTCAAACCTGCTGATTGTATAGTTTAGATCTTCTGCATCTTTGTTGTTTCTTTTGTGTTGAGCTACCTTTTGGTGGATACTGATGTGTTGAAGTCTCCTACCAATATAGTGGGGCTATTTCTTCCTCCAATTTTGTTAATCATTTTATTATGTATTTTGCAGGTCTACCATTTGGTGCATAAATGTTGACCAAAGTTACGTCTTTTTGATCTGCTGTGCCTTTAATCAGTATGTAATGTCCTTCCTTATATTTGATAGTGGTTTTCATTTTGAGGTCTATTTTATCAGAGATTAGTATTGCTACTCTTGCTTTTTTGTGGTTGCAATTTGGTTGATATACATTGTTTCCAATCTTTGATTTTGAGTTAGTCTTTCTCTCCATTTTTCAGGCAACATATTGATGGGCTTTGTTTTATTATCCATCCTGCTTCTATTATCTCTTGATTGGTGCATTTAGTCTATTCATTAATTGTGATTATTGTCATTTGTCATTTTGCCATGTTTACTTTTCTGTTGTTTCTAATTATTATGGTCCATCCTCTTCCCTTTGGTGTCTCTGTGTGGAGGGTTTCACTTAAAATTTCTTGTTGTTTTGGTCTTATTTTCACAAATCCCGTAAGTTCCTTCTTTTCTGCAAAGGATCTAATTTCTCCTTCATATTTAATGGAGAGTTTTGATGGGTATAGGATCCTTAGCTGGCAAATGTTTTCTTTCAACTTTCTGTATATGCCATGCTATTGTCTTCTAGCTTGCATGGTTTAAGCTGAGAGACCAGAGCTTAATCTAATTGCTTCCCCTTTGTAGGTAACTCTTTTTCTCATGTTGCTTTTAGTGTTCTATCTTTTAATTTAGAGATTTTTACTATGTCTTGATGTCTTTCTTTTTGGGTCTAGTCTATTTGGTGTTCACTGTACTCCTTGAATGTGGATTTTCCCATTCTTCAAAATACCTGAGAAGTTTTCTTCTAGTACTTCTTTCACAATTTTCTACTTCCCTGTCACTCCCATATTCTGGAATTTCAACCATATGTATGCTGTTCCTTTTGATGTCATCCCATATGATTCTAATGTTTTCTTCATTTTCTTTACATCTCTGATTTTCCTTCTAGTATGCTCCCAGTGAGGCTCTTGTCTTCCAGCTCACTGACTCTTTGTTCCATTTCTTCAACTATACTTTTTTGTCCCTCCAAGTGCGTTGAACACTTCTACCATTTCTGTCTTAATATTATGGATTGTATTTTCATGCTTTTCTGTTATTTCCTCTACTGTGTCGGCTGTATCCTGTGTCTTGTGATGATTTTTTAAGTTATTGTTCCTCTTTATCTACACTATGAACACTTTCCTTTTTTGCATTTTCTTCCATAGCTGTTCAAGTTGCTCCTTATCTACATGTTTTTTCCGGATTGCTGTCTCTGGGGTATTTGCTCTCTTAATGACTTCAAATGTTTCTTCCATAATTTGCGTCTTCTTCTGTAGCTGTTCTAATACCTCCACATCAACATATTTCTTTTGGTTTTCTCTGGGATATTCATTGGATCTGCCTTTTTAGGAGAAGGTTTACTATGTTTTTCATGATGACTTAGGTAGGCTGCTGCTTTCTTGACATTATGTGAGTCTTTTCTTAGTGGATACCAGGCTGTTGTAACTGTATCATGATCCGGGGTATGGCAATGTTTTGTGAAGGACCTGTATACTGGTGCTCCCCTCCTGGGAAGAACAGTCAACCAGGAGCAGGATGACCACTGCCCTCCTAAAACTGCTCCTCCACCTGGGCTCTTCTGCTTGAGCTTAAGAAACCCCACATGATGTAGCTAGACAGCAGTGTTTCATCCAAAGTACCTGTGCTATTGGTGCTCCTGTGCTATACAGTGGGGGGGGGGGGCAGCTGGGTAGTCTCCGGGCTGAAGCTGGGTGGTCTCCAAGCATCAGGAGCAGCAGTCTCGTGATCTGGGTGGGACTGCAGTCTAAAACTGCAGCCCCTCATCCTAGCAGTGGTTCTGTCTCAGGCCAGGGTGTGAGCGTGTCTAGACTTGGCTGCAGCCTTCTGCAGACACTGGGGAAGCAGTGGCATGAAGATGCTCTTGGGCCAGCCATGCCACACAGGCCTTGGTGTCTTGCAGCAGTGCAAAGCTAAGGTTTCCCCTACCCTGTTTATCTTATTATTGAATTTTAAGAGTTCCTTATATATTGTGGACCAAAGGTCTTTATCAGACACATGATTTGAAAATGTTTTCTCCCAGTTTATGGCTTGGGGTTTTCCTAGGGTTTTATTATAGCCCTGGTCTGCCCACTTGTTGTACAGAGGTAATTCGTGGTTGCTGTGATGTGTCAAATGTGATAATGGTTACGTATGCTGGACAGTGTTTGGTGGAGCTCCCTGATTAAAACAAGCTTGGAAGCAGGAGTGGCATCCACTTCCGAAACAGCTTACCTCTGGAAACTTTATGAACTTTGATTAACAATGAAGGTTATACAAGTGTTCAGGTCTTTCATTCATAAGGTTGCTATGAGTCGTCTATGACTCAACAGCACTTAACAACAACAACATTCATTTTCTTAGTTGTATTTGGAAGCTCAAAGGTCTCTAAAATTTAACTTCATGAAATCCAGCTTACCAATGTTTTCTTTTATGAATACTACTGTTGGTATCTTAGCAAAGACCTCTTTGCCTAAAATGAAGTTCATCAAAATTCTATGTTTTCTTCTAAAAATTCTCTGCTGCAGGACTTACATTAGGGTCTCTGGGCCCTTTTGTAGTGCATTTTTTCAGAGTTCACATTATTCGAATCACAAGGTGCTTTCTGGAGTCTCTCAATTTTGCACATAAGCTCAGTTCGAGAACCCTCTCAACCCTTAACACCCCCACAGGACAGAGCAGTCCCACCTTTCATGTCTCCAGGGCTGTGAATCCTTAGAGAGGCAGAAAGCCCAGCGCTGAGTGACCCTACAGGACAAAGCAGGCCTGCCCCTCATGTCTCCAAGGCTGTGGATCTTTATGGAAGCAGAAAGCCCACCGCTAAGTGACCTATCGGACAGAGCAGACCTGCTCCATCGTTTCCTAGACTACCATCTCTGTGGAGGCTCACTCCTCACTCTCCCCCCAGAAAAGCTGGTGGGTTCAAACCACTGACTTGTTTGGGTTAGGAGCTGGGTGCTACCAGATCTCCTTGAGGCTGACCCTTCCCCTCTCAGATACACTGATGTCACCTGCTGGAGAAAGTCTCCCCTTAGCCCTGTGACCACCTCCCTGAGTCCCTGTACCCCAACAGTGCAGTACACAGAGCAGCCTCCAAGTCCAGAAAGCACGGGATGGTGTGCACAGTCATCTATGAATCAGTGCCACCTCAACAGGAGGGCAGGGGGGAGACAGGCACAGTCCTCGGGGCAGCAGAAAAGACAGGCACTCAGTAACTCCTGGGCCACCAAGGGAACAAGCAAGGATGCTGGAACGCTGCTTCATTTGGGCATGTTGTCAGAAGGACCTGTCCTTGAAAAAGCCATCATGTTGGGGAAAGTCACGCAGCGTGAGAGGAAGACTCTGCAGTGAGAGCCCGGGAGGATGGCGCAGGAGGAAGAAGGCTGCCCTCTGCCGCTCACAGGCTGCTGGGAGTCATACCTGGAGAGCACAAACAGCGAATACACACAGGCATGTAAGTTTAGTGGTCAGTCCCGCTGAGTGGCCTTGACTTCCACGACCTCATGTGAGAAAGACCTGGTGCCAGCCTCGCTCTCTGCTGTGCTCCACTGTTGCCCCTCACTGAGGGGCCCTCAAGCGTACAGACCCCTCACCTTAAACATGTGTAAACCCCGACAGCACTCTCAGCACCCTCTCCCATCCCAACCCGAGCTGGTGGTCCTGTGAGCGCACACCTGGGTAAGGACGTGCTGATCTGGAGGCGGGGCAGGGCGGGGATGACCTCCACAGTGGAGCCGCTGGTCTTCACTCCGGGCAGGTTATCCAGCAAGCAGTCACTGAAGACACCAAAGACTGTGGTGTGGTAACCTGAAAACAGAGCAGAGTCCTCAGCATTGGGAAGGGCCACCTGCGTGCCGCTGGGGTGTGGACCCCAGTCCATCGCTGCCTCTCACCTCCAGCTCCTACAACTCACCCCAAGGCCCCAAGCCCAACAATGAGCTAATAGTAACAACGTATTCCCACTTCACAAGTCTATTTCCAAAAGACTTCATACACCACATATCCTAACACAACATAATCATCCACCTCCCGCCCCACCCTACTTTGCTTTACAATGCTCTAGGAATGGCAGTTAATATTCCCTCCCAGAACATCATGTGACTTCACAGGCACTCAAAACTCCTTCAGAAACTTCTACTAAGAGACCAAAGTTGAAGGAAGAACCAATTATTGTTATTACAGCTGCTACGTGATCAGGCAAGGCCACCATATGAGCACAGGTACTGCAACTGAGGACTAGCAAAGGTACCAAACATTTTGGAAAAACAAACCAAAAAGTATGCTGATTAGGTAAGAACATAAGATTGTCTAAACAAAACTTAAAAATCACTTTTAAAATTTGACAGATAATTGTTATAAACAGCATTCAATGTGAAACAAAATTAAACAATGCCCAACAGCTAACTGCCTGGCTTGCCAGCATCTCTGAGCCCTTGTCAAACTATTCCCTTCCAACCAGAGGGGCAAACGACCAGAGGGGCAAACAACCAGGCCCAGGAGATGAGGCCCCTCAGCTCTGCTCTTCACCTTCTGCACTGAGAAACTGGTCTGACTTAAAACAATGTCACTCTACAGCCCTCACAGCCCTCAATTTTTAAAATACGTTCCTAGAAGAGCATCTTTCTCTGTGTGTGGTTTTGGTGGTGACGGAGAATTCACACGGCAAAGCCTCCCCTGCCTTGATCATGTTACTCATACAACCCAGGAACGACGTGGCACTGTGAGCCAGGATGCTCTCTTCTCTCTCCCATTACGAGCTCCTTTCTGAGCTTAAAACCACTGCCCTCCAAGTCCCCACCTAATCGTTCCAGTTCCTGTTGTCACTTTGCTCCCATATGCACAGTTCTTAAAAGA